GCAAATCCAATGTTGGGGTCAATGTTGTGTTCTGAAGTTGTGCGGTAAGTTGTGGAGAAACACAAACGTTCAAATCACTATCTGCAGCCGTATCTGTGTAATCTATATTTGCCAACTTAATTGGCGGACCAGTTTGCTGTTCCTCCAATTCTTTTGCAGATGGTTGTAGCACTTGTGTTACTTGTTGATTTTTACGTTTCCTGCCATAGCTACGTGCGGCAGGTGGCGTACTAGCAGTAAGCGGTGATGTGCTCGCTGCGCCACTTCTGGTAGCAGCGGCTGCTGCCTCCTCGGCGGCACCCGCTTTTGCTGACAAATTGGCGGCAATTTTATTTATATTGTTAATGGTACTGCTCACATTATTGTTGATGCTAATGTTACGGGGCGGACGACCTCGGCGTGTTACGGGAGCTGCAGCAATTGCAGGCGTCTCAATACTATCGGATGTTTGGTTTGTTGCAACCTCTGTTATAGGTACTTTCGCCAATTCTTTTAAGCCCTTTACAGGCGACTCATTGGGTTCTGTAGATGGTGGAGTGGAGACTTCGGTTGTTGGCAGTACCTTCTTCGGCCGCCCCCTGGTAGCACGCTTGTTGGTTGATGTGTTAGATTCTTCCGCAATGGCAGCAGTAACCGAAGGTATGACAGGTTTTCGGCCTCGAGTTCTAGCTGTTGTAACTGGCTGAATTTTTTGTGGAGATGGGGTTATATTTTCCTCCTGTACATTGTTCGCTTTAGCTCCACGGCCACGACCTCGTGTCACACGACGATTTTCCGTAGTTTCTTGTTCCGTTTCGTTGACTTCTTCTCTTTGGTTTTCCGTGTTCTTATCCGAAACATCCATTTGCTCTTGTTCCATTTCACCGTTAACTTTCTGCTCATTGGTTTCTTTATTCGGGGGAACGGTAGATTGAAGGCTTTCATCTCCCCGTAACACGGCCAGAATATCTTCTTGTAGCGGCTCCTCCACCAAATTCGTTGCACGTTGACTAACTTCACCGTCCATCATCATAGATTCCAATCGAGACTCGATATCTGAGGGCGGCGCCACTAAAGAGGAATGCTGACTTGTCTCAAGATCGCTAGTTATAACGCTAGATCCACGACTATGTATAACACAGCTTTCTTCCTGCGCTATCTGTGCCAGAAGTTGTGGGGTACTGTTACCTTTCGAGGAAATGCTACCTAAAACCGAGGATTGCGAATCAAAGTCGCGCTCCGAGAGTGCTGGCGGTGAAATAACAGTGCGGCCGAATAGTGCTGATTGCTGCTGTGGCTCTAAGTGTGCATTAAACGCCAAATGCGGCGAGGGTGTCTTGAATTCACTACCAGTTGTAGCAATATTTGCTTGTAGAGAATTTGAAAGCTGTTCTAAAGCGGCGTGTTTTAAGTGCTTATGTTTTTTACTTTTCGATTTCTTTTCGCGCTCACTGCCGGGAATACTACCTGACTCTGCGGCGGCAGCTGCTTTCTGTGCTGCTGCTGCAGCTTTTGCCGCTTCTGCTGCTTTAATGGCGTTTCGTATCACGTCGGTTTTTATTATCAACTTTAAACGTTCTTTTGGCGGTTTATCCGGCGAAATCTTCACAGTTGAGTAGTTTATCTCTGGTGGGTCTTCAGCGTTATGATGCTGAGGCGCCAGCGACACGCTTGCCGTATGAGGGGCAGGAAGTGGTGGTGGTGGTAGTACAGGATCTGGTGATGGCGGCCGGAGCGGCTTTACAATAATCTTTGGTGTATTGTATGCCGTTGGCAGATGAATGGGAGGAACTTCTTCAGTAGATGCGTGTCGAGATTTTGATAATTCGGTATCGAGCTGTTGACGCGGAGAGGCGACGTTGTTGCTTGCGGGTTGCTCTTCACTATCTGTACTCACCAAACGAGAAGTACCCTGAAATAATTGAATATTAAATTATTTAGTTTCTTAATAATAAATACAAAACATTTGTTTAAGTCAGCTCCTTTATTACAAGCTGTACATTTGGTTAAGGAGCAAATTTTAGATATGTTATAATCTCCACGGCTGCAGTTTTGTATCTGTACTAACGTAATTATTTGAAATATAAAAAAGAACAAAGCGAAACAAAAATTGCGCGCGTTTTTTATGTTGTTTGTTGATACACTTCTTTTCTGTTCTCTTTTGTGGTTGTTTTCTACTTTTCTTTTTGAGGTGCATTTATTTGTTCCTTTTTTTGCATTTGAAGGAATTAGAACACAATCTATTGTGAATGGTGGTGAAATTGAGAATTTTACCATATTTCTGAAGGAGGGAGGGGGTTACTGGAGGCCAAATTAATTTTCAAGAGTATGCAAAATGCAAGTGGGCTTTGTTAGAAAGTGATCAAGCGGTAATTAAAGATTACGACGATGACCTATTATATTTTTGACAAAAACTTATGGCCCTATTTTTAAAAATAAAATAGGTTTAAAGAGCTTTATAACGTAACATTTTCATAAAATTTTTTTCATTTATAAAGTAGTTAATGTCTCCTTTGTTTTTTTTTTTTTTATATATATTTGGGTGTTAAGTTGTATTTATTTTTAACACTGCGTTTGCATTTCGGCCTAGTGTAGAGTTAAATAAGTCGTATTACTGAGCTTTAAAAAAAATCGAGTACTTAGTAAATTACCTTTGAAATTCTCAGCACGATTGGAGGGTGCTCAGGCGTTTTCGGCGCCAAGATGGGTGCGACCGCTGCTGTGGTGGCTGTAGCACTGCCAATTGATATTGAACTAATAGCAGCGGACGTAGGCGCGGGTGTAGCAGGTGGCGGCAGATCCGGCTCCACCACCGCAAGTTCTTTTTTACCTTCATCTGGGATCGACACGGAAGATTCTTCTGCCACAGCTGGTTTAATTTTAGGAAATATAATGTCTTTAAGAGGAGTTGGTATGCGTTCATCCTCGTCATCTTCACAATAGTTTACAACTTTACGTGCACGGGAAATTATACGAGATGGTGGTGCCTCAGGTTTTAATTTTTTCTCCTCTTTCTTCTTTTTTTGTTTTGTTTCGCTAACCGGTTTTGTGGAGGTTGCAGCTTCATTAACATTGCCATCACTTAGCGCTGCCGTTTGTTTAGCACTGGATTTCTTCGGTGATTTTTTCTTGCGTTCACTTGAATGTGCTTTGGGTATTTTCAATTTGATAGGCTCACGCACTGGGGTGCTGAGGGAACCTGTATTCGATGTTCCAGCGGAGTAATTTTCACGGGCTGGCGATGCCGGTGTTCTCGGCATATTTTGAATTATTTGCGCAATCACCTCCGGCGGCGCACTGTTGCGTGATTTGAAAAACTTCTTAGGCTTTGGCGGCTCCGGCACCGAAGGTGACATGTCATCATCTAGCAAAGACGCTGGACTCTGTGCTGGACTTACTGCAGCGGCCGCGGCGGCAGCAGCTGCTGCAACTGCTGGGGATAATGCGGCTAATGCGTAGGTACGCGTTGACGTGAAACCTATTTTGCCCCATTTACCGACAGTGCCTACGGAACGTGCCACAGTGGGTCGATTGGTATTCTCCTCGCCCTTGCAGAGCACGTCCAGTGGGACAACAATATTTTTTCCCCAGCGTGACATTACGATCGTTGATGTGGATGATTACCGCTTACCAGATGTTTAGGTTATGGTCAGAAACAAAGTATTGCTTAGTTAATTCTATGATTATTACAATCGATGATTCTTACTTTTGTTTTCATTTGACTTCTTGTATATGTATATATATATAAAGTTATATTTTGCACAATTTGGGTTTGCGAATTTTTTGAAGGCAAATCACAATGGTGAGTTTGTTTTATATGTTTTTATTGTTTTATTGGTAATGTGTCTGATCGATTCCATTATTTTATAAAACATTTCCATATATTTCCACATATTTTCTTTTCAATTTCAATGAAGCGTGAGTTGTTTTTCCCCTTTTATTTATGCAAGGGGCGCATGATATACATAGTTAAATTCACCACGTTTGAATTGTTTATATTTTCACCTTGGCTGTCAGTAGTAGACAACACAAAACGTCAGATGTTTTTGTTGTAATATCATGCAGTTCCCTTTCGGCGCGACTTTCATCTGCTCCCCCAATAAGATTTACGTCTCTTCTAAAAATGCTACCACTTTTTCCTCTCCAGCCACCCAATCAATGGGCTCGACCAAATACAATGAAATTTTACAATTCTACATGAAAATGCTTCCTTTTACAATTAAACACTTTATTACTGAATTTACGACACAAGTTTTCGCCAGAATGCACCCATTTTTGCAATAAAAAGCCAACAGTTGCCTAAAATATGACAAAATTTTTTCACCAATTTCCTTTCACATTGGTGTTCACAGTGCCACAGTACCTTTACGTGCCTTTCTTTGTAGGACAGACGGCTAGAGCACACGATATTTAGATTACTTCAAAACAAACAAAAACCAATAATATCGCTCGGAAAATATTTCGAAACTAATCTTTGCAATATGTTTTAATCACTTGTTGAAGATTTATTCACGAAAACTGATTTGAAATTGACATATAAAGAAAATTATTTTTGACGAGATTTACTGCTTTTATGTATCGAAGCCATTTTTATTTTTCTCGCTTCTTATTCACCACGCTCAATGGTATTGCCATTCGGTTGGGATTTAAAGCAAATTATTTTGCGAGTTGAGGAATCAGAGATAGACAACTGAATTTATTAAATGCGTCAACTGATTTTTTGTAATTTACACTGGCGATCAAAACCGAGTGCACGACATTTTATATATTTATTTATTTATGTCTAATAACATAACTTACAGCAGCATTACTTTTATAATAATAAGCGGATTACTTTGAAATTTCCAGCAATTGGTTCTTATTACCTAAGGAATAAAGCCTAGTATACAGAAAAACTAAACTTAAAAAGGAAACAAGTGATTCACAACAAAAAGGCAACGTAACTCTATTCACTCAATTTTGAACTTATCTGTTTTGAGATTTTAGGAGGTTGATATCAAAAGGATTGTGGAGACTCCTTTGTTTTTAATGGCGGTTTTCATACGTCTGGTAGTGCTCTTTACAGATTTTTTTTATGATGTCGTTTGCAATATTACCCCAAGGTGTATTAAACAAGGTGGTGTTGGGGCGACAGCTGAGTTTTTCGCCGTGGAGGCCATTATGTCAAAATGATGTGTTTGTTTTAACTCATACCAATGACAGTATGGACATCAGCGTATAGTTTGTTAGTGTAATTTTTTACTTATATACGGCCAACACCACCTCGATAAATACGCCTTGATTACCCCATTAAAATTTTACTCGCCTCCAAAGCTCTTCCATGTTACTTAGTTCGCCTCGCAGCCAACGACGCACGAAATCCTCTGCAACCCTTTTCTCCAACCAGAACGAAGGAGGTCAGCCTGCAGCCCCTGTGGAAGTTGCCTCCCCCTAGCTGAAATTGACGACAGATGAACCGCCCCGAACGGTGCTTAGTAGCCGCTACAACAACAACACGAATAACCCAAAAGTTCTATGAGTTACCTTCGACAGTCTGCTCTCATTCAAGGCGCATACAACCGCAATCGTTAATAGAGCACAGAGCCGCAAAAAGGGTTCTCAAGTCGCTAGCCGACATCACCTGGAGCAAAGACAAAGAAACGTTGTTGCCAACATTCAAGGTAATCAACCAGTCGGTTTTAAACTATGCAGCGCTCGTGTGAACGCCATTGACTAGGAACATGCAGTGGACGAAGCTACAGACATGCCAGGACACGGTACTCCGGACCATAACTGTATGCCTTCTGATGTCGCCACATCACCACTTTTACGACGAGGTTCAAATGCTTCTGCTCTGTAAGCGGTTCCTAGTAAGGTGTCACAGACGTGGGCACCCGAACAGACACCTGCTTGCAGCAGAGCTTTTGCCAAGGTACGTCAGAAGGCACCAATACGGACTGACGGACAAAGTCCAGAAGTTCATAAAATAACCGCTGGACAAAAGAGAATAGTGACAGGCCATAATCGGAATTTATAGGCAGTTGGTCTCGACTTACATCGACTCCCGAACTGTAAATGTCGTTTTTGTAACACAACCACTTGACGTGGACGGGGCAGAGACTCGGACCACCATAGCCTATCGTCGCTCTGGACAACACAGCAGCCTAAACCCTCTTCGCATGCCTACAGAACCCCACTCAGCTAACGCTCCTGTCCCTGTGGACTTACAAAGTCGGAGCTGCGCACCAAGTGCAGTGTGTACATAGTTTAGGCTGGTGGAGTCAGCTGCTGCGTTGACTTGTGCTGCCGGCCGTATTTTGTCGCCACAGTTTTACTGTGACAACGCTAAGACTTTAGCTAAGTATTTGGCCAAGCTTCTCCTCCAATTTGTGGTACGTGTCTTGATGTTGTTAAACAAATAGACGGAACAACAGCTTTACGCGGCATCCGAACGGAAATATGGTTTTACGAGAAGCTTTCTCAAGGCAGAAATATACTTGAAGGTTTGTCATTGCCTGCCGAGGGGCGACGAATGTTTTAGAAAAAAACCTTTTCTGTAATTTTTTGATAGTATGCACATCCAACCACTCGGCTACAGCGGCCGCATAGCATATACATAGTTTACACTGAGAGATTATACACTGTAATTCTGCGTAAGAATTGCAACAAATGTACAACAAATACACCACTTTGCGACTAAGGATCACCGAGGCCAAAATATCAGCCCAAGTTCACCTAGTCTTTCGTAATAAAGTTTTTTTTTATCTTTAGTGCTATACCTGCTTAATGTGCCTTGGCGCACATCGTTGTCGCCTTCGACGGCCCAAAGGTAAAGGGGTGTTAGCTGAGTGTGTTTGAGGGGCCAGTGCAGATAAGGTTAGTGTAGTGGGCAACTCCTTCGCAATGTGGATATGTATTTGGAATATCTAGCGTATGAATGTTTTTAATGTGATTTAAGGCCAGTCGAGTTCAGAGGAGATTTGATGCAAGTCTAGATTTCGTCTGTTAGTTGGTAGAGATGCGTACTGATATTCCCTGGAGGTAGTCATGCTTCAAGTAGTTAACACTTAGGATGCTCTCGGTGGAAGCAACAAAGTAAATATTGCTGGCACACTGATAAATGGTGTTCAGCAGACATCAGAAGGCATCCAATCACTGCTCGCGTCTTACTCGTCACCGGCAAGACCTTGTTGTGGTTCTGTACCAGGCCAGTGACGGAGATAGTGTTGCACATGATTCAATAATAATTATATAATAATTATTGAATCATGGTGTTGCACGCTCTTAATTTCTTTCTCGCAGTTTCAGTAGAAATCATTGGCCGGCATGCCCATTCTGCCAGCATGTTTTCCGATCAAACGTGATCTGTTATTTCACTCGCTTAAGTAGAGGTCGTTCTAGACGAATTAGTGCATCGCAGTTGTGACAGATTTGTTGGGTCATCCTACATGTGCGTTTTTACAGTCATCTTTTATTTCCCTTCTCGACGAAGAGTTTTAAGGCAATATTCTGCAAGTCGATGCCAGGCAGGGTAGTTCCCTTCCTCGAAAGCCGCTCTGGTTTGTAAGTTTGTCTTTATGACCTGGTACCCACACAATGTGGTGCTAAAGTGTTATTTTGTAGGACCCTGGTAAGGTTGGTGAGCTCCTTGGCGGCTTGGATACTCCTTGTTGGGTATCTGTAGGTACCGATGTATTGCGCGGATAACAAGGAACTGCAATCTGACCAACTTCAAAGATAACTCTATTAATTACACCTATTGCTTTTGGGGTAAGTGAATCTAAGGGGGTCTTTGTCATATGCAGCAAAAATAGGGTGTGCCAATCTATAACGGGTTAGCTATGATGACGTTATATTACTTTACTATCGAGCTGTTTATTCCTAAGGAAAGGGTATGTATTCTACTGGGTGCATATGGACTACTTCTGTACAAGTGGGTTTTTAGTCAGCATAGCGAACTCTAGACGAAAACTCTAAAATTGAATATAGCTTGGCTGCGGCTTAGTCGATAGAGGGATGTACTACCACTGCGTGGGACCTAGGTTCGATCCCTTGTCCGGACAACATCTAAATTAGAAAACGTTTTTTCTAATACGATGTTTCCACAATTCGTAATTTGCTCTCTACATAATTCGTGAATTACCCTGTTTCCACGCCACACATTTTTAACTCCTTTGGCAGCTCTACTTCTTGTTCTTGTTCTTCGCTATTTATTATTATTTTTGTGTATTGCAAATATTGAAGATGGAGCAAAAATTTAAGTTAGCAACTAGAAAAAGGGACAGCAAATGGGACTAGGCCGGTGAAAACTACGATATATTTCCGATAAATATTAGAGAAGGCACCGATTCGTTCGTCATTCGCAGGGTAATTTGCTCTCAAAAATTTGTATGGCGAATTACATAAATCGAAGGGTAATTGGATGGCGAATGACGAATGGGAGAGCGAATTACGAGTCGCAGAAGCGTCGTATAACAGCTGCCGCCACATGTCGCCCCTATGCACGCAATATCAAATCTGCGAGTGCATTTATGCCTTGAAGAAGCTTCTCATAAAACCTAGTGGCATTTCGGGTGGGGTGTAGGTATTAAGGTCCGTCCATTTGTATAACAACAAAAATACACAGACCATAAATTGGAGGAGAAGCCCGGCCAAAGACTTAGCAAAAGTGTAAGCGACAAAATACTATTACACTGACACACAAAAAAAGTGGTCGGTGCATATAACCAGACCAACCTACCTACCTGCCCATGTATTTCGACCCGCAGAATCCGAATTTATTCAAAATTTTGAGGGTGTACGAGTCAAACGGACCTTAGATTCGGATTCAATGGGTCAAAATACATGTCGGTAGGTGGATCCGGTTAAAAGTACACACCCCTTTTTTGTGCCGGTGTTATTTTTTGTCCCAGCTTAGTAGTCATGTCTAATACTCGGCGACTTTGGGAAGTATTGTTTTACGAGTGGAATGGGCCATCTGGGACCACGCTTGTTAATTGAATTTAGTTTATTTCATTTAAACTTGTTTTATTTATTGGTTTAATGCAATTTTGATATACAGATGTGCATTTTATAAAAACTGATTAACAACCCAGGGTTTTGAGTATTGAAAAGTAATTTAAATAATTTGTTTATTAACTTAATAATATATTTTTTACATTTTGCTCATTTCTCATGGCTTTAAAATCACTTTGAATGAATTTTTTGCATTCTTTCGTCCATTTACAATATAAGCTAAGGGATCATCATCAACTGACTCCATTAAATTGTTGCAGGTTTGATTGATAGGAAACATGAACGATAAGTCGATATCATAGCGGGGTAGCTTTTCTCTGCAAACAACAAAAGATAAATAGTAATCGTTGATTACCATTTTTTTTATTAGCAAATTTCAAAATACTATATTATTTTGTTATATATTTTTATATTTTTGTTTTTTAATTTCACTGAAATACCTCAAAAAGTTGATAACATTTTCACCTAACTCCGTTTCTCGCGACAACAACAGCGCTGATAAATAACGCGGTGACTTTTTCTTTTCAGCGCAATGCATGATCAGACTCCACGATTTGTAATCCGTATCGATGACGTAAGTGTTGTAGATGCCCTCATCTGTAAAATGAGATTATTAAAAAATATAAAAATCAAGAAAACACTCATGAGAGTATAAATTTTTACATTAGGGTGCCTCACCAAACACTAAAAAGTAACGGGTTTTCCACTAGAGTTATAAAATTTATCTAATTTTCAGACTCACGCCAATATATATATTTCGGAAAAGTATTAAGATTTACGTGAGCTGGATCGATTTGCAATTACCACCAAAAATCATAAGTATTTTGGTTCCAATGATACAATTTTAAAAAATTTGTATGCAGACGTTAAGCTCTTCTTAACTCTTCTATCATCTGAGGTGATTTTTGGGGAAAAAATTTTTAAAAGCTAATTTTGCTTATATACCCTTATTAAACCCTATTTTTGGAAGTATTTCCAATTCTGTCCAGTTTACGTACATTTTAATATCATTCCGAAATATTTTGGCGGAAGCCTTAAAATATTTTAACTTCAGTAATTCTGATAGAAAAACAGAACTTATTTTTTTTTGGTTTGTTTTGTGGAGAGTGATGTCCCTAATGCGCAAATGTATGTACATATGTATGTACATAAAAAGATGATGCAAGCAGATTTTTAAAGACTGATTTTACTGTTGTTATTAGTCATAATCTACATACATATTTTCTATGAAAATATTTAAAATTTTTCTTACAAATATCTTCAGTGTGCATCCAGTGTGCGGGTGTTTCAAAATCCGGTATCATCCAAGTGATGTTGCCCTGTAATTTCTCACGCAATGGATCTTCGGCAAAGATGTAACTGAAATTCATTGTAATCTAAACAAATCATAGAAAAAATAAGAATATTTTGAGAAAAAAACAGAAATAAAATATTTTGTTAAGATTATGAAGAAAAATCGACGGGGGGCACCGGATGTTATCCTGGTCAATTACAGAAAGGAATGAATTGTAGCACATAATTACTGCATGCTATTATAGAAAGAGTTCTCACACTTAATCACGTAGCCAATAGGTGAGGAGAACCCCCAAGAAGGAAAATACATTGCAACTCAACCCCAAAAACTTAAAAAGACCAAAAACTTTATAGTCCTTTCAATTAAAAATTATGCAGCGGTTTATAGAGTTCCATATCATAGAGGCAATTTCGGTGACAATACAGTACGCTTATACCAAGGGTAAGCCCATGAAAACAGCGCTCCATGTAAGCGAGACGCATAACGTAAGGTAACTATCCTTCAGAAATATCTGGGACTTATACTGGATGAGAAAGAAACTGCGAAATTGTACGTTAGCCCTCTAAAAGCGAAACCGGGCGTAAATGGGGTATCTTATATGGAACGACTAATGAAATAGCCACACTCACACTACAAAAGGCGCAAAGAAAGGCGAAACTGTAGATAAGCGAGTATCTGCATCTGCCAATAGACTTTGTGGGAAAGCACAGCCATAAGTCTCCGAAAATTATCTAGCTGGAGAGCGAATCACTGTGGTCACAACTCAACTCTTGACCGGATTCGCCTGCTTGAAATAAGGGACTATTGCGTGCCAAAAAGAAGCTTCTATAAAGGCTATAAAGTGGAAACCCCTAGCAGAGGGAGGCGGGATGTTCGAGACCCACTGACTATTCAATTCTATGTATTCTGATGCATCTTAAATGGAAAATCCGAATCGAATCCGAACTTACGGCTGTACTAGAAGCGAAATATGACACTGAAGATTCTACAACGCTTTGTCTCCAAACCAAATTTGACAAGGGATGACGGAAAATCGTTCCAAACTACATCAAGCTGTCGAATGTTTACGAACAAGGGTAGTCAGAGACTAATGCAATATCTATATTTTATCAGTCAGGCAGCTCTAAAAGCTCTGGATTCGGGCCTAAGTAATTCGTAAATTGTAGTAAATTTCCGCGAAATGGCAGAACAGCATTTTATTCACCTGGTATGTGTGCCGGAAGACAGACAGAGCTTGCAAGGAAGGGCATATGACGCTAGTAGCCAGCTGCAGGCTCAATATAAGTACATACAAGTTTTCTTCTTCTTCTAAGCAGGTGCAAGATGGAAGACCTAGATACCTGCAACGCGACATAATTCACGTGACTAAAATAGGACTTGAAAAGATCTAGGGAACTCCTTGGTTATGTATCTGCTGTAAGGTTATTTCCACTGAGGCATGTATGAGTTTTGCAGGATCTGCAAGTTTACTACATAAATGCATTCTATAAAAGCCGACTACAGTCTTCCGATATCCGCAAGGAAAGAATGGAGGTCAAACGCAGGTAATAACAGCGGATTTGAAGCTCGTCAGGAGATTTGGAATATATTCGGCACCACAAAGCTGATGAGTTGGTTCATCTCCGATGTCAGCTGGCCGTCGATGATCACGCGTAAAACAAAGTCTGAACTTAATCTAAAGCAGTCAAAATATATTACGCTGAAGAAGCTTTTTAAAGCTTTCTATAGACTTCATATAGACGCATTGACAGAAAAAACTCTCGGATCAACACTGATCAATGGGGACGCTAGAAATATATGGCTGCTGTCATAATCCAAAAAATACAAATATTGAGCTAGGTACCAGTGTTGCCGTTTTAGCCATTTGGTGGCACGGGGTACTGAACTGAAGGTGACGTATTCCCGAAACCGCTACTTTGGTTTTGCCGATTTTGACATTTATGGCAACACGTAAACAAACTTTTTGCTTAGAAACAAGTGGCAAGGAGGAATTGTGAATTTAAAGTGAAAAATCGCAGTAATTCGTGCTTTGTGCATAAAAACAAGTTTTATTTCGAATAAAAACTTTATAAAAATGTCGTGCCGTGTGGCGCGTCTTTATGTTCTTTGCCTAAAGCGACAACCCGCACCAACATGTAAGTAGTTACATATGTACTTCAGTGCAGTTACCGTCGCAGAAATAGAACTTCCCTGAGTCAGCTAATGGAATGTAATAAAGTTTATGGACAATCTACATGCATAGGATACGAAAACGGGCATTAGTGGGCACCAACACTATAACAATACTTACATGCTGATCCTCTGCGGAAAACGTAAAATCGCTTTGCATACAGGCATATTCGGGCAGCTCTTCCGTTGATGCGTAATACTGAACCACATACCAGAATCCCATCATCGATTCCAGATCAAAATTCCGGATGCCACGTACCTGCAAAAAATAAAAGAATTCATTACGAGAATGATGGATACGGAATAAATAAAAACTTATTAAAAATAGGTAAAAAATATTTGAGATCGTAAATTAGGAAGTGTTTGTACAAACTTCTGCTTCGTTGAATTCTACAGAAAATTTTACTGTGACATACTATTCAGAGTTGGGCAAAATTTATTCGAATGACGAATAACAAATGAATAAATTGTTTTTCTTGTTATTCGTAAATAATAAATAATTTTGGTTATTCAAAAAAAAATTATTCGAATGACGGATAAATTATGTTATTCGTTATTCGAATAATTATTATCTTCATTAATTATTCGAATAACGAATAAAATAATAATAAAACAAGTAATTTATGTATATAGATATGTACATATATTTATGTATAAAATGATAACCGTTTTCGTTGTTGTGATTTAACTCAAACCCCTAGATAGATTTAAATCAAATTTTCGGAGGTTATTCCATGCGCATTAGGTCCTATTAAAAGCTACTAGAAAACTCCTTTGTGGCGATGGAGCCGAGTTATTTATAAAAGCCGTATTTATGAACTGATTTCGTTCAAATTCAAAACGTGTTCTTCCTGCATGATGAAAAATACTTATGCGAAAAATGGACCCGCTAGGTGGCGCTACAGTTGAGTTATTTAGAAAATCCCTACTTATTGTACAATCAGGTTGCAATTCATAATGGTGCTGCAGTCGAAATCATTAGAAACCCCATATGTCTGGACTACTTTGTTTTTTATGTTTATATTATACGAATTTACGATGTCCCACGTCGTCATATACCCTAAATGCGACCTTGCATCTACCTCCGCTAGATGAAATTGCTCGGGCGGCCATTGCTGCAGCAGTAAGACTCAAGGAAACCAGCTCTTTTAATTTTTTTTATATTTTAAAAGTGGCGAATCAGCAAAGAAAGTTTCGACCACATCCTTCCAATTCCTATATCAATGGCCAAATTTTACATCGAGGACGCACATCTATGCTCTTCAGCATCCTTATAAGGACTTTTGTTGGCCTACATGACATAAGACTAGAGGTTGACGCATCGGACCAATGTTGTAGTTGCAAGATCATAGAAGAAGATTACGCACGCTTAGAAAAGATCTCACAAGTGGAGGTAAAGCTCATGACATTGAAAGGAATTTTTTCTTGCATATAGCATCAGAGCGCTATTTTTTTGGCAGAAATATGTGTGAGAATTTTTACTTTACCCATATTTGGTTTTCAACGCTATTCATGCATTGGCCAACGCAAAAAATCTCATCAGGGGCCGCGAAACCATAGTGAATGGGCTAGTATTCTTGATAAAATAGTAAACAAAATTCAGCTAACTTACAATCCTTGACAATAGAAATAAAAGTAAAAGGTGGCTCAATGTGTTAAAAATGAGTTTTTATTCATTATTTAAAATAACGAATAAAATAACGAATAAATTATTCGCAAGCAATTTATTCACGAATAATTTATTCGTGAATAAGTTATCTGCGAATAATTATATTACGGATAAAATTTTATTCGAATAATTATCCAAATAACAATTTATTCGAATAATGCCCAACTCTGATACTATTAGTAACAAACGAATTTTTTATGGCATTGAATACATGTAACATACAATAAAAAATTCTATTAGAAAATAAGGCAGCAATCAAAATGGGTCTAGCTCCTGAAATCTGGTAACAGTTGCCCAGGATACACGTGAGATATAAAGAAAATACTTCTCAAAGCTCGTGAATGGCGACACAGGTGGCGCGTTTGATGAAGAAAAACCCGAACCAATGTATAGGGACGAAGGTCACGTCCCTCTACTGGAGAGAGCAACAATAAGGCGGCTTAGGTACAACAAAGCCCCCGAAGCCGACGGCATTCCGGCTGAGTTGTTCAAAGGCGGTGACGAAGAGATGGTGGTGCGCATGTATCAGCTGTTAAGCAGAATTTGGTCCGACGAATATATGCCCGAGGACTGGAATCTCGGTGTACTTTTGTCCAATCCAACAATCGCGGAATAAGCTTTCTTAATATTGCGTACAAGGTCCTGTCGACGATACAGTGAGAAAAACTGAATCAACTGATTGGACAGCCACACTGAGGCTTAAAATAACTAGATAACTAGATTTTCACGGCACGTAAAAAAATGGAGAAGATACTAGATAATCACACATAGCATCTTTTTGTCGAAAGCACGAAGAGAAGCTGCCTGTACGACGCCAAACTTCAGCTCCGTATAAATTGGGAAGGATCTCTCCACGCCGTTTGAGACTAAACGAGGTGTTAGACAAGGCGATTCACTCTCGTGGGACTTTTCAATCTGATGGTGGAAAGCGTTATAAGAGCTAAAAAATTGAGTGGCAGCTGAAAATGAGGGACGTAACCGCAGCATTTTCCAGTTTAGAAAAGAAGCTAGAGTGGGTTGGTCTAGTGGTGAACGTCCGCATGGAGATCAAGCGAAAAAACACTCTTGGCAACAGATTCTACTTTGAGCTCGGAAGGCAATTGAAAAGCAGAGCCCTCTCCTGGTGTACAAAAGTGACGCTCTACATGTCACTCGTCATACCTGTCAGAAACGTGGACGATGTGGAACACAAATGAGAAGGCTTTGGTTGCTTTCGAGAGAACTATTCTACGCAATATCTAGGGCTCGGTTCGCGTAGGCGACGCGTATCGGAGAAGACGGAATGACGAACTGCATGAGCTTTTTAACGACATGGACATAGTTAAGCGCAAAAAACAGCGATTGCACTGGTTTGGACATGATGTACGCATCGATGATGACGTTCCGGTGTAAAGATCCTTCGGCTCCCCGCACCCATGGGTGCATAACGAAAGCAAGGGCGCCCACGAATACAATAAAGGAAAAAGTGCAGAAGGACCTGTCTGCACTCGAGCTGAGCAACTGGCCCAAATTAGCATAGGAGAAAGGCAATTTGAGAAGCTTTTTGGTCTCGGCCCAAAACGACAAACCAAATAAGTAGAAGAAGAAATATATGCAGCTGAAAAGATTATTTCGATGAATTGATGACCTCCTCCTTTTTTGAAGTCGGTTAAAAATACATACATTTACATTAATAAAAATTTTGGAGTACGGTTAATTTCTTCGTGATCCAATGATCGGATCCAAAACAGATTAGTATGGAACCACCCTCAAGGTACCACCTCTCCGTTGAAAGAGAATTATCGAAATTAGGTCACGTGGTCCAAAGATACGCGATAACATACATAAACAAAAACAAAAATATTCCAACGAATTGATAACCTCCTCCTTTTTTGAAGTCGGTCAATAAGTAAGGTTGACGCAATCGTCTCACAATTTCTTGGCAATGTAATGGAGATTATCCTGTCTAACAATCCAACGGGGCTCTTAATTCCAACAATTTCCCTCTTGATCGAAATGCATAGCAGAGGAAGAGTGAGGCCCTCACTGTACTGGAAAGACCAAGTGGAGAAGGACTTGGCTAGCTTCACTTAGCATTTCCAATTGGCGTCAGTTGGCACAGATGAGAAACGGCCAAAATCGCTTAGGCGCTAAATAACGAGAAGAGAAGGATCTGCGCTTGAATATGCAAATTTTATATTCCTTTGATTGATTTACATAATTTCCACTCTCTAAAAGTAAAAGCCATATGAAAAATTAAAAGAGGATTAATCCTCATTGCCCTCTATTGCCTCCTTTTACTTTTTCTTTCGCACAATTTCACTTATCGACATGAAGAATGTAATTTCCCAACGCCTACTAGAATCCGTTTGTGGACGAGTTTTTAAGTGCCTTTTCGACAATAAAAAGAACTAAATTAAATGGATCACATTTCGAGTGCGCAAACGCGCTGGTATTCAGTCAACATTTGTGAACGCTCAGATTTGACTGGCCATGAAGTCGCCACAATCTGGGTAGTTGTGTGCGCGTGCGCGCGCGCTCAGGCTTGGCCGGCCACTTAGAAAGTGTGATTGATTTTGGCGCGGCCAATGCTACGTCGCCCAACGCATGCGCGCACGCTCATGATTGCAGCACATTTACTCCAGACGTACATATGTATGTAAATGTAGATGCTGGCGCTTGGTAGCTGGCCAAGGTGGTCGCTAAAGTGGTGTATGGATGTATTTACCTACATACTTGTCTGTCTAAGCGCCCGTTTCTTTTCCGTCATTCTGATAAATGTGCAATGTCGCGTGTGCCGCATATTGATGAGATTCCATTTGATGAAAAACGTATTTACATAAAAATTTTCTATTTTGATTTTTTACATTTTGGCCAAAACATTACTGCTTACTGGTTGTTGGTATACCAAAAGGTATTTAGAATGCGAGCACATGCGGCCGCAACAGCAGCAGCATCAGCAATGCAAACATTTGTAGGTGCGCGTATATCCCAGCTAGTACAACGCGTTCTTCATGGGGCGCGCAGATTCGGGCTGGCGTCTTTTATAAAGCACTAGTATGTACATATGTATGTGTATGGGGGCATGTTTGGGCGTACAGAAAAGAAAGTGTATATTTGGAATTATTTTGAACTGCTATTTTCTGTTTCACTAACCGCTTGACATCGCTAACGCTTGGCGCTTGCGGCATCGCTTGCAATTGGCTGGCAAGTGATGCGCGATCGACAGCGCCGTGCGTCGTTGTGATCTAGTTTATTGCAAAATAGAAAAAAAGAAGAAGAAGAATAAACGTATCCGTAAATGGACGTGAAATACTAATAAATACATACACACAAATCGAACGCTTGGCTATTTTATATGGGAAAAGCGTTCCATATGGAATGTAAATTATTTAGAACAAAAACGAAAATGCGGCGCAAATTTGCATATTTTAATTGAATGCTACAGCTGGCACCAATCTTATGATTTATTTGATGATTTCGAAAATTTAGTGCATAGCAATTGTTTAATCATGTTGAATAGTTTATGTGGTGGTGTGGGCCCAAGGCTCTATTGCAGTTGAATTTTATTCTATCGAAGACCGATAAAGTTAAAATATAAATGCATTCTAACCTGTCGTAGCTGAGTGTTTAGAGATATGCACCAGCACTCGATATATTTTTGTAGTTCCGATGCCTGGTCCGAGTAATGCTTAACATTTTTCATGTGTAGAGATCTTAGCTCTCGGTTTCGATGAAATTTGTGTTAACCCAGCAGTAATTTGTAACTATTTCTTGTGAACCCAGCAGAAAATCTATAATTGCTTCTTGTGTGTTTAACTGCAGATTTCCGGACAAGTTCTGAGCTATTTCAGGACCATGTGGGGATTAGTTTAGGAACATTTCGGGATCTGTTCAGGACTATTTCAGGACCAATACGGGACTTGTTCGCGACCATTTCGAAAATCGATCGGAATCATTTCGAGACTAGTTCGAGGTTCATTGGGGACTATTTGAAGTCTACTTTGGCACTAGTTCAGGACCATGCATCATTTTGCGTCTAGTTCAGGGCTGCTTTAGGTCCATTTTGAGCCTATTTCTGGAACATTTCGATACTAATTAGCTACCATTTCGTTACTGTTTTAAGACTTGCTCGCAATTATTTCTGGACAAGTTGACGACGTTTTCGATCGTTTCGGTGCTTGTTCGGGACTATTTTAGGGCCATTCCGGGATAACGACGGGAACGTTTCAGGACCATTTCGGGCTTAGATCTAAACCATTTGACGCTTGTTGAGAACTCGTTCGTGTTCACACCGAAACCAGTTCAGGACCGTTTCAGGATTGTTTCGGCATCGCTTTTATATTGGGCACGTTCAGAAGGCGCAACAGCTCAGTAACTGTTGCGATTGCACCTTCTGAACGCGTTGCTGGTTATCTCTGATCAACTCAACTGTTGAGACAACATGTTGTGTATACCTTGACAGTTGAATTGGAAAGCTAATGCATCAAGACGCTTTTTAGCAACGGTTGCGCTCAACTACCAATTTTCTATATTGTATTTCATGCCATTTTAAGCTCAAAAAATACATTACTCTCGAAATCTAGTTACCCCATAAATTTTGTACTAATTTCATGCAAAGACTAAATTATTTTGGTGTGAACTATTTTGTCTGATTTAAATGATTATCTCAAAATAGCAACAAAATGTTGTGTGCGTTTGTATAAGTATATGCAAATACATATTTATGTATGTAAGTGTATTTTATTTGTTTTAATTTGTTTGCAGTGAAATGATGCGTAACAGTTTGCTACAAGGTCACTTCGCATTGATTGTATTTTTTTTTGTTATTTATTATCGCAGCCGGATTAGAGTATTAGGGCTTTTCAAGGCCGGATTATAACACGGGCCGATGGGGACGCGGACAGAAAATTAGATGTTTGAAAATTCTTAATGCCCAAAAAAGTTTTGTCATTAATTTCTTTGGTGCAGAAGAAGATGGATCGACGAACTGTACGAGCTTTAAAATGGCGGGGACAAGCTCAAAATACAGAAATTGCCCCTGACTTTGAACACGCGATACGCCGTGATACTCCGATCAATGAAAAGATGCTTCGACGTCGAAATTTTATGGTGTCGGCCTATGACCAAGTTATCTAAGTGCCAAATAAGAAGAAAAAGGGAGAGAACTTGCCATTCATTTTGTGGAACGTGGTTCACCTCTGTTGCGGATACGACCACGTTTGCATTTTTAACCGACTTCCAAAAAAGGAGGAGGTTATCAGTTCGTCGGAATATTTTTTTTATTTTTTATTTTATTTTTATTTTTATTTTTATTTTTTTTATGTATGTTACCGCATCACTTTGGACCACATCAACCGATTTCGGTAATTCTTTCTTTCTTCTTTTCATCGGAAAGGTAGTGTCTCAGAGGTGGTCCCATACTAATCTGGTTAAGATCCGATCAGTGGATCATGAGATATATATATATATATATTGTTTTTTTATATGAGAATTGAAGTCGGTTTTTTTTGCAAAAAATTACTTGTTTTTTACCGCATGCATTTTTTTATTTTTGCATTTTCACAATACTGTTTCACATACTTAATCTTATGAATATTTTTAAGGGCGATTTTAAAGGAAAATGTCTATTTTATTTTAAATTCATCTTTAGACAATCTTCTTTAAATGCAATACTTATGCATACGTATGTGTGTGTCCATTAGGGTGGTCCAAAAATGCATGTGAAAACGAAAAAGTCGGAATTTTTATGCTCTCACCCCCTAGCATTGTTCTAAACCGACAAAAATATATCCCTATTCATTATTTTGAAATCAAAAAATATAGAGAAGTCGCTCAAAGCGCCCAAAGTTTTCCATGTATTTTATATGGAAAAAAAACAACTTTTCGTAGAATTGTTAAAAACCAATATTTTTTTTATCGGAAAACTCTCTTTATCTGCAGGAGATAGGGTGTTATTAATACCTAATTGTTTATTTAGCCATTTTTCATCGAAACTATATTTTATAGGTCCGCCAAAACCCACGAAAAATGCAATGGGGGGACAAATAAAAAATCGTTTGTATTAAAAAAATGAATGAAGAGAACTAGAGTTTTCCGATCGAAAAATATTGATTTTCAAGAATTCTATACCATTTCTACGAAAAGTTGTTTTTTCCATATAAAAATACATGGAAAACTTTGAAACTTTCAAAATAAAAAAATATGGGTATAGTTTTTTCGATGTAGAACAATCCTAGGCGGTGAGAGCATTACAATTGCGACTTTACTGTTTTTGGACCACCCTAGTGTCCATACTTATTTTAATTCTTTTTCGTTATTTTTTCCAGAACTCAAGTGATAAAAAATTAGCCTTTAATAACAATTGTGTTTACGTTTTTCTTCGCGCGCCTTGCATGCCTCAGGAAATACTGATAAATATTTTTTTTTTCTTTGCTCACAACACAATTTCCGCTCAACCCATTAGAACTTGAAGGGAGATCTCCCTATGTGAGGAATAAAAGAGTACTCCCCTTAACCTGATTTCTGAGCAATAAGAGAGATTTGTCGGTTTTGTACTCCTTTATTACTCGTTTAGGAGTCAAATAAGAGATCTCCTAAGCGAGCGACGAAATATTGCTCCCTGAGGCATGATTTCGGAGCAGTAAACGAGATTTCTCGGTTTTGTACTCCTGTATTGCTCGCTTAGGAGCTTAATGAGAGATCTCCTAAGCGAGCAATTAAAGAATGCTCCCTGAGGCATGATTTGGGAGCAATAAGCGAGATTTGTCGGTTTTGTACTCCGTTATTACTCGTTTAGGAGCAAAAAGTGATGTCTCCTAAGCGATAAATCCAAGAGTATTCTTTTTGATTGATATGAGAGCAATACGCACCTCGCCCAAAAGAAATTTGTGTTTTCGAAAAAATTTATCATACAAAAAAAAACAACAGAAAATATTTCTTATAGAAGCATAAGGAGCACACAATAATTTAATTTGGATAGCACACAGATTTTAATAAAAGTCCGTTGGTATGTACTTCAACTTTTGTTTAAATATATTAAGTATGTATTGTATTACTTGTAAATGCACCCTTAAATACTTTTCAGATTGCGCAAATTAGTGTCAGCATTTAAGTGTGACCCACGGGTTTAAACACCGCATGGGTGACAAAGATGTCAGATAAGCAAAGTCACCTTCACAATTTCCCCGTTTGGTGGATTCCTGAACTGGCAAGCATCCTTGACACCCAGGAAATCATATAGGAGTACATACTTATATGTGCATATAGGTGCATATAATTCAAATCTTATCTTACCGTTTTTTTATTATTATGTTTTAATTTCATATGATTTCTCTGCAATATATTTCTAAAATTAAGCAATTATGTAAGACGTATCATTTGTGCTTTATTTTTAAGATCTTGTAATATTGCACAAATGCATGTGATTAAAAAGTTAAATAAAAAAAATTTTTAAATAGCAAAATCCATTTGGCTAATGTAAAATATTCGTTATCATTGCTCTCTTATTACTCCTACAGGAGGTTTTCGGGATGTCTCTAATGGGAGCGCTCCTTTATTGCTCGTTCGGGAGGAATATGGGATGTTTTCTATGTGCACTCCCTTGTTGTCTTTTTGGGAGGTTTCTGGGAGGTAACTATGGGAGTACTCCCGTATTGCTCTATTAGGAGGTTTGTGGGATGATAATTCTGTGTGTGCTCCCCGATTGCTCGTTTAGGAGGTAAAAGGGATTACTCCCCCTCCTAGGACATCCAATGTTAAAGGGAGTATACAAAATTACATGCTTATACCCAGAAGCATAGAGAGCAATGGGGAGTATTCGTATACTCCCAAGGGAGTACTCACCGAGCAATCGTACGATGCTCCCAAGTTCTACTGGGAACATAAAAGCCACACACTACAACTATGCACCCACACGCACATACAACTGATAACACATCCAAATGGATACAAAAAATGGACAAAATTAGACTCACATTCGGACATCGTTTCTTCAGATCGGTACGCTTCTTGGATGCATAACTGTTAAAATTCAGCCAAGGTGAGGCGAATTCAAAACTTAACACGCTGACGAAGAAGAAGAGCACTGTTGCAGCATGCACAGTTGACATTTTTTCCAATGGTTTTTCACTTTTTTACTTAGCAAATGACGACAGCACAATTTTCAATGCGATTTTTTTTAGCATTTCTTGTAGTTATTCACTTTTTTACACCGCTGGGCAGATATGTATGTATTTATTTATTGCCATAAAAAATAAAAAACAAATTCAAGTCGCTTCAGTAAGCACGAATAAAGCGCCTATTGGAGCTGGCTAGTGAAATTGCAAATTTAACAACTCAATTCACGCAGAGAAAACACAGAACTATTTCAATATTTTGTACATTTTACAACAAACATTTAGGAATTCTCGCCATTCGCGACAGGCAGCGACGCGTAAACTGGCTGCGATTTCTAAGTGCGAGCGATGACGCGTTGTTCAGCTCCAGCCACTTGTAAATGGAAGCAGCGTACGCTGTTGGAGTAAAAAAAAATAGATATGTATGTACATTCATACATACAAAGAAAAAAATAGCAATTAAAAATAAAATTGAAAAAAACTAAAATTGCGGATAAGAACACCCGCCGCTGACGATTGGTTTTTTGCTGTACACATGTTCACATATTCATGTACATTAGGGTGTCTTCAATTTTTTATATATGTATGTGTTTGATTTATTTTTTTGCTATGGGCGATACTGCTAAAGCTCAATCGTAGTAAATCTGGGTTGGTATGGTTGGGTTAGTTTAGATTTGGCTAGATAGGATGGGCTGCTTTCGTCAAGAGTTCACTCGTGGAAACACAGAAACTAAAAGAAGAAAATTACACTAAAGATATATCGCCATATGTTATTCAACCCTCTCCATCTTTTGAGGAATCCACAAAGTGCGATCGATGTCTAAGCTGTTCAGGTGCTCGAAGGAATGGTACCCCAGAAAACTTTTAGTGCGAGACGTTCGAAATAGCAAAGGCAAGGAAAATATATCGCTAGTTTCTAGGGCTGCTGTTTTCACTTTATTTTAAACATTTCAACACTTCGTCTTTGATAAAAACATTTCACTTTTTGCACAATTTTCCTATACAAACACTCGGGAAATCTCGCAAGGTTTCGCAAACTAGCACCAATTGTTAAAAAACAAATGGTATATTCGAAATCTGTAATCTTGAACGAGCTATCGCCATTCCTATCTAGGTTAGATCAACCATGTGTTATCTAAAAATCTATTGAAGACATTAAAAATTTCATCAACACTTAGAACCACCTCACTTTTTTGGTATTTTTGTGAAAAAAGAGCACAAGGCAAAAAAAAAATATATATGCCCATTCCATTATTTCTTGAGGAAAGAGCGAAGCAACAGGCTGGTAAAGTACCAGTTGTCAAAATTCCTTGGACATACACACGAAATAATGGCAATTTTTTTTTGACCGTTTTCTTGAGAGCTGGAGGATGGTATCATCCTTAAAGCAAAAGAGAGCGGAAATAGGCACACAGAAGTATTTGTGTAATAAAATCGAATCAAATTTGATTCAAGTATTTTAAAAATTTTATTTTTTAACCACATAAATACATAACAGTACTTTCGAATGCAAAAACAGTAAATACGTAAATCAGTAAATTCTAAAGCAAAAGCAGTAAATACTGACATTTGGAATTAGTTCTTATTGGGAAACTGTATGTTCAAAAATGTGTGCTTAACCCATTTGATTTCAAAAGATTTCGTTGAAACGTCTCAAAAGTATTTAAATTTTTGTCATTATCGACATTTGGTTTTGATCAATCACGAAAATCGTTAAGAATAAAAAAAAAAAAATAGTTTGTTCTAGGACACCCTAATGTATGCTTAAAGATACTTGTATGTATGTACATAGTATATGCATGTAAATATAGAGCTATATATTTACGTACATACATATATATATTTTGTTGATGTATTATTGTTGTAGTGATTGTCGCGGTTGCCTTGATGAGTGTGCTACTTGTACATACTTATTAACGCACTATTTAATGTTTTATTCATGTAAATATATAAATTTTTAGTGTTACGCTATTCTCGTTTCGTATATAGGACTTCTTGACAGCTACGTTGAAACATCTGACGCGTAATAATAATAAAGTTTATTACAATTTTTAGTTTCAAATGTACTAAGTATATAGTACACTCGTTTATACTCATTGGTTGTTTTCGTACATATAGTCATGTGAAAAATAATAGGCACACAACATTTTGAACAGTTTTAGCTATTTTTCATTTGTTTGTTTAGTGTTTATTATTTGTTTTTTTTTATAAAAATGCAGCTCATTACCGAACAAAAATAAGTCTAAATTTAAAATTTTGTAGAAAAATTTTCTTCCCTATAAAGTATGTTCGATTTTTTTTTCGTCTGGAAGAAAATAATATCGGCAAAGTTCTATCAAAAATCAAAACGAATACTTATGGTCGGGTTTTTGCTACCAAAAAATGTCGCCTCTAAAATATGCTTGCGCTTTATGAAGCTACATTTTAATGGGCTATAAAACTGCATACTAAAAATTCTTAATAAAAAGTGTGTTGTAAAATTTTGTTGATATTTTACTAATTTTTCTTCAGAGTTTGAAATTTAGACTTGCATACATATCCTTGATGAAATGTAGAAAGGCTCTAACCGAAATTGTTTTCGAAATCTAGTTTTTTGAATTCCCAAGAAGCTTATGCTAAAACCGATCTTCTCTAAAAAATCTAGAACCGTAACTTAAAAACTAGCGAACTTATGCCACTTTTTAAAAGCCCTAACTGAACGATTGAAAATTTGTGATAGCAAAAATACCTAACTGAAACATTTATTTAATAACTTCTCAATAGCAAAGGCACTTACTGACCGAAAATCTAAATAATTGATAAAACAAATTTAAATTGTTTTCAGTCATGTTAGGTATTGATGTTTAACAAAAATTCCATCAGAAACTTTCAATAAATATTTTATTATTTCAATTATATATCGCTTTTTGCCTCTCCTGAAAAAAATAAATTGTGTTAGTTAGGGCTTTTCTACATTTCATCAGCGATATGTACGTATGTACATTAGACTGCATCACCAAAAAATGTTGCGTTTTTTTACCGGGACTACAAATTTGTTATATAAGACAAAACTTTTCCGATTTAGACTTATGAGGTATAATTGAAAAGGTGTTTACTCCTTTTTATTTCTTTGTAAAGAAACTAATTCACATTCCCTTATTTTTCAAATATTAACACATATTAATTCAATTTGGAATGAAACTCGTTCATCTTACCTTTCTCTTACATACTTTGATTGAGTTTATATGGAACTAAAAAGGGCAATGATATCTCATAAGTCTAAATCCGTAAAGTTTTGGCAGAGTTATTTAAGGTTTTCTTAAACAAACCTTTGAAAAAAGTTCAAAAACAGCATCAAAAATCTCATTATTATGATTTCGTTGAAATTTTTTTTTAATGTTTTTATGCAAATTTTTTAAGCTTAAACTGTTTTGTCATCTGAGGTGCTTTAAAACCAAACTTTAAAAACTATTTTTATTAATAAAAAACTAAATTTTTGGGGGTATTTTCAAATCGTTCCAGCTCACGTAAATCTTAATATTTTTCCGAAATATTTTGGTGAAAGTCTTAAACATAATAAATTTTATAATTACAATGAAAAACAGTACCAAATTTTTTTTTGTATGGGGAGTGATGCAGTCTAATGTACATATATACATAGACACATATGTATGTATGTATGAATATTCAATTGGAACGTAATCGCTGATCACTTCTTTTAGATGGAACAAATTCGCATAAATAAGTACACTTTATACATTTCGAAAAATTGAGCGGAGTGCGTAGACCGGCAAAGACGGATGGCGCTCTAACTAATTGTAAGTAGCTATTCGTATGTCAAAAATACACACTCATAGCCTCTCAGTATCAATGGAAACATGGGGAATCTTGTATGTACATCCATATATATTTTTTGCTTGGATTTTTCTGTGGCGACAAGGAAGTGCGTAAAGTGTAAGAGCACCCTGCTATGCACGGCATCAGAAATTGCGCTCTACCGCACTACCACTCACTTTTGGCAGCCTTCTTATCTCCTCCGGTCATAAAACTAAGGCTGCATTTCATTCGCATGATTTTCTACTGCAGTGGTATGCTGAAAAGGCACAGTAGTCCAAGGGCTATGGGAAATGCTTAATTATTTAGTTCTTTTCGCTTTATAAAGCCCTTCGCCTCTGGAAGTGTTGGTACATCTTCATAGAAGTAGAAGTTCTATAATATCTATTCAGTAATTAAATTTTTTTAGTTAAAAAATTAAAAGTCAGGTGTAGAGTATATAGAATTGCGTTTAATAATTTAACTTAAGTTAGTGTGATATTGAATTTAATTAAATTTTGTTTCAAAAATACCCACTATGCAGCACATTCTTCACACTTTTCCTTCCAGCAGATAGAGGTTCTCTAAGCATTAGCCTGTCAATGCGCTGCCGCTTTCCACGCTTTCCACTGTTGCGATTTTTTAATTAAGAATTTCGCCGATGCCTTCCACTTCAATATTTTTAGATATCGTCACGCACCCAGCCACCACAACATTGCCAATTTCAGCCATGCATTACAGCAGATCGCAGATTGCAGGTCATCCGAGGCATTCCGAATTGGTGACTGTGAAACATCACTAACACTTTACAGGAGAACACGCGGCGGCGTAGTGGTTTAATACACTTGCTTGTTGTTAGATTACTAAATTAAGCGAATTTTGCATTTCTAATTTAAGCGCATATGTGCGGAGAATAAAGTACATAAAGTACAGTACTTCAAAATTATTAATTAAGGCAGGCGCATTTTTTTTTTTTGCAAAAAACCGCATTTAATTCCCTCAGACATATTTTTTTGTTTTCTCCTAAACGGTAAATTTTAAGTTAACACACCCAACTTAAGTCAATTTGTGCATTTGGTATACTGTAAAGTCCCCAAGGCATTATTTTTGAAGTTGACTTATCTGATGCCTTCTAAATTAATACTGCTAGGTAGAGCAGATATGGCAGTGATGTCCCGACATTCCTGGCAACTGCATAGCCGTGCCGGCAAGAAGAGGGGCGGAAATATCCGAAGTCAATTCTGCCAAAGATGCGGGCACACCTCTAGCCTCCTGCAAAGGCAGATTAAAGGCTGAACTTATCGAGGAGGTTAATACCAGTTGGGCTGTAGAAACTACCTGCTTTACCACCAGGTAAATCTGTCCTCACTCGGTTGGACCGACCTTCTTTCAATTTAGTAGTTGATGTAATCACCGGAAACTGCATGCTGGGAACGCACGGAAATTTTGCTGCCTACTGTGACGTGTGCTCAATATGCGAGAAGACTGTTTATATACCAGACCACCCTCTTTATACATTTTCTAGCTGAAAAATGCTGCAGAATAAAGAAGTCGTCTCAAAATAAATCATTCTGTCTAAAAACTATAATTT